CCTGCCTCATGAAGGCAGAAGGTGCGGGGATGAGCCTACAGCCAGGTCTCAGGCGGCAGCAGCGCCACCGTCGCCGACACATTCACAGCAAGCCCTCCAGACGAGAAGCGCGCTCAAAGGGAGGTCTCCACGGCAGAGCCCACGGCGGCAGAGAGAGAGATGTGATGGCAGAGCCCGAGAAACCGACCCGAGCCTTGAATCTGACGGACGCCCTGCCGACGAGGGTCCAGCAAACGTCCTCTCCGTCCGCGCCTCGGACGACGAGCCCAGGACCCACCCAGCGCCCCTCCCCCGAGCGCTCACGGAGGCCCCCAGCAACGGCCCGCCCGAAGAGCAGGACGACGCTCATTCAGGCACACGGGACTCCTGGCGGCGGCGGAACCACTGGGGAAGCCACCAGGGGTGGTGGTCTCGAGACGTTTGGGTCAACGCCGGCTTCTCACTGCGACCGCGGCGACAGGTGGGAGCGCACCAGCTCCTCGAACACGTACAAGAGGCCCTTCCATGCAGTCGGGTGGGAGCGCAAGGAGGGGGAGAGCTCCGCCGCCATGATCAAGCGCTTCCAATCCGAAGCCAGCTGCATGCTGTCTGGCGCATGGCACGCCTACTGCCAGCACCCGGGCTACTACGCCAAGGACCATCGCCGGCCGGCTAATTTGCCCTTGGATTTCTTCCGCAGGAGACCCGAAAACGCCGACAACCTGTTGGCCGACCTGGCCCACGCGCGTCACGACGTCACGCGATGGGCGGAGCAACGGGGAGGATGCGGGTGGACTGGGACGCCGCGCAGAGGACAGCGGAGGACAGGGCACGACAGAGGGACCCGAACTCTCGCCAGTGCCCCGGGAGGGGTACCGCCGCTGCTGGTCCTTCCCGCGACGACGAGCAGCGGCCGGCCTGAGGTCGGAACGCGAGGCGCCATGAGGCGCCGCCTCGACGCGCGGCAGCCGCCCCGCACCGCTCGCGCACCCCCACGGGGCGGGCCCTGCGTTCTGGGCCCAGTCTGGGCTGAGACCTCCCTTCGCACCGCGGCGTGGCGCCCCGGGCTTGCTTCCTGCGCCCTGGTCTCCTCCTGATCCTCCTCCTCCTCCCCCTCCTCCTCCTCCTCCTCCTCCTCCTCCTCCTCCTCCTCCTCCTCCTCCTCCTCCTGGCCACGCTGCCGTCGCGCCTGGCATGCCGGCTCCCGCCTGTAAAAATCTTTCCACGCTGCTCGGGCCTGTTGCCCCCCCGCTGGGCTTCCGGTCCCACGGTCTTCCGGCCTTTTGCGCCCGGTTTCGCCTCGCTGGGCCCTCGCCGGGCCCTCCTGCCTGCCCTTGCTTCCCTCCCTCCCCCTCTCTACCCCCCTCCCCCCCCCCCCTGCCGGCGTGGCGGCGGCGGTCCCGCCAGTCTTCTGGCCGCAGCACGTGCGCCGCCTGCGCGGCGCGGCCGGGCCTGGCGCTGGACTCAGGATGTTGCTCGTCGATAAGGTCGACGGCGCCTTCCTGTTTCCCTCGCCCAGCCGCTGGTCATTTGATCCTCGACTAGGAAAACGAAGAATCGTATGAACATAAAATCTCGGAGGTCTGCGCGGGTTTTTCGGATCCGCGCTTGGACCCCCTGGCGGCGCCTCCAGCGCCGGCCCTGGCGCGCTCCGCGCGCCAGGGAGGGAGGTACACGGAGGAATCCGCGCGGACCTCCGAGGTTTTATGTTTATGCAGTTTTTCGCTTCCCTAGTTTCCCTCGCCCAGCCGCTGGTCATTTGATCCTCGACCCTCCGGCGGTGTTCCTCGGCAAGGGCGCCTGCTCCCCCGCCGGCCGTCGCTCTTGGCCTACTGCCCGTGCGGCTTTCGCGCTCCAGGGTCCCGAGGACTGCTCGTCTCCTCAGCCCTTTCCTGGGCGGGTTCCAAGGCGGTCGCTCGCACCTGGCCTTGCTTCGTGCTGATTGACGACGTGTTTCGGTTGCACACTCGCCCCTGCCGGGCTCCCCTACGGTCTCCATGGTCGGCTTGGCCCTCGCGTTCGCCAGGTGTTTCAAGAACTTGCACCTCAGCACGCACGCGCAGACGTCCATGCTCTGAGTGTGGCTCCCTCGCCCTTCCGGCCTGTCCGGCCGCCTCGCGCCTCGGCGCGTTCTCTTTTCCTCGTGCCTCGCTGTGATTCGGCGCGCCCCGCCGCTGCTAGACCGCCGTCTGACCTTCTTGTGGCCGCTGACTGGGACATGTTTGCAACTTGCCCGCGCAGCGCGATGCAAACATGCTCAGACATAGACGGCGTCTGAGGGAACCTGCCGTGGGCGACCCCGTGCATGACAACCATTGGTTCTGGTTCATGACAAGTGTTTGGAGGATCCCAGCCGACCATCCAGCCCTTTGTGACGCTCTGAGGGGGGGGTGCAGGAGCCGTCCCAAACAAGCTTAGGCGCAGTCTCAGAAGCAAAATCGGCAAGCTGCTCGGCATCCGAAGAGGTCTCAACCTCGGAATACGTGGAAGGCTTCGACGGGGGAGGACGAGGACGAGGACGAGGTCGAGGAGGTGCGGGATCCGGAGCGGAAGAGGAGCAGGTGGAGGAGGAGGAAGAGGAGGAGACAGAGGTGGAGAAGGCAGAGTGCGTTGTTTAAGAGAAGATGGAAGAGCTGGATGCGGAGCTTCCCTTTTCTGCGAGCATCGGCCAACATCCCATGACTCCGACGTTGTGAGAAGTCACGACGGGCGTCTCTGCGAGATTCTGGCGCTTGGGGGGCGTTGTCGGGGCTTGGGGCCCGATCCCGAGGATGTGATCGAGTTCCGTGGCCCACGCGAAGAAACCACAACGTCGGAGGTCTTGGTTACGTACACGCTCGCCTCAAACAGGTTCCCTCGGTCTCGGCTGCTTCCACCAGGGGTTCCTTTCGCACTGGTCGGTCCAACCATCGCCCTCATTTCCCTTACCCCTCCTTCTTCCTTTCCTCCCCCCCGTGCGGCTAGTTGAAAAGGGGGAGGGAAAGAGAACGATGAGCAGGAGAAGGGGGAACGATTAACAGGATGAGGAGGGATAAAGAGGGATTTGAAAAGCCGGAAGGGAGGAGAAGGAGGAGAAGGACAAAATGGAGGAGGAAGAGGAGGAGGAGGACCAGTGTAAACCAAAGAGTCATCTACGATGTTGGAGTGTACCTTCTCTCCAAACTCCTGTTTTCGCAGGCCACTGCAAGGGTTAATCTTCATTCAGGGAATTGCCCCGTTGGGGGACAACCGTGTGAAAATCCTGAAGCGTGCCAAAACACCATTTCCAGACTTCAGCGCCACGAGCTAACCTGACTGTTACGTTTTGGCGATCCTGAATCGTGCCAAAATACCATTCCTGAGACGTCAACACCGCGAATCAACATAATTGATGTTGCGCCCTGACAATCTTGAGTCGTTCCAAAAACCAATGCTGATTCTTTAGCATTGAGAATCAATCAAATCTGGCAAATTCTTGAAACAAATGTGCGCGGCGCTAAGACGAGAGCCACATTTTGAAAAGGAATTACCCTGAATCCGTCAAGGGCTTGCGAATGCGCGCGGCGCAATGGCGAGAGACACATTTTGAGAACGATTCGCCCTCAATCCGTGGAAATCTTGCAATGTTTGAAACGAATGTGCGCGGCGCTAAGGCGAGAGCCGCAATAAAAAAACGGCGCGCCCGCGATCCGCAAAATTTGTTCTTCAATTTTGTAAAACGAATGCGCGCGACGCAAAGGCGACAGCCACATGTTGAAAACCACCCGCCCTCCACTTGTGAAACTGTTGCCAGTTTTTACGGTTCAGGCTGGAGAGCGCAGGCGGAACACCCGGCCGGCCCTATTGACCAGCCTCGGGGTGCGACGGGGAGAAGTTGTCTACAGGGAGAAGGAATGGATGTCGACTGATGCAGCGCGCGTGGTGTGGTCAGTGCCGGTGGATGCCAGGACAGCGAGTCCGAAGGCAAGGAGAAGAAGCTCAGGACGCCCGCCATCTGGTTGGAAGCTCCCATAATTGCACGCATGGTTGAGGTGAGGGTTCGCGACTGGTCGTTGGCTGTCTTCCTACCATGTTCTCGGCATCCATCAGTGCTGGCCGTTTGTTTATTGCAATCCGTTGACCTAGCACAGGAGCGAAGAATGCTGTGTTGTACTCGTTCCGACTCCTCGCACGGCAGCACCATAGTTTCAATTGTGCCATTGTTCTCTTCTGTCCGCATTGCCCCGCTGCCAGGAAAGCTGCCAAGCGGGCTCGCTTGGCGAGATCGGCGCCTACTCCGCTGCGACGCCGCGACGCAAAAGAGGGAGGGTCGGTTCCTAAGAAGAGGAGCGCGCGCGCGCCTGCACCGCTCGTTTGAGGTGATGGGGAAGCAACGATATCACACTCGAGCTCATCGGCGATAGGGGAGGATGGGGAATGCGAGGAGGGAGGACGGCCAGCAGCGGGGAGCAGGGGCAGATGAAGACGAGATAAGACGAGGAAGAGGACAATTAGGAGGAGGAGGAGGAGGAGGAAGAGGAGGAAGAGCAGGAGGAGGAGGAGGAAGAGGAGGAGGAGCACGAAGACGACGACGGTTGGAGAGATTAGACATTCCTGTCCAAAACACGTCACACAAGGGCCACAAGCCGACACTTCTGCCGCCCGCGAGCATCCTCCTTCCCCTCCGTTGCCCTCTATACCCCGAGCCCTCGACATGCCTTTGGATGGTGGTGCTTGGAAGTTGCTGTGGGAGGGCGCTGGAGGAGGTGGTCGCATGCGTCATATAATAAAGTATGACCTGGTTTTGGCGTGAGCGCGATCGACTCACGTGCGATTAAAATTCCAGCTTGCGTTTCCCGCCGTTCATGGACCAGCCGATGGTGCATCGCCGCGGAGGAGGCAAAACGAGTCCTGGTCATGCCGCCAGGAGTGCTATGGGCGCATGGGCTGACGTCTCCGCGGGGGGTCGCCAGCGTGAGCTCCCTGCGCCGTTGACGGTCCTGCTGAAGCTGCTGAACGACCCATATGGATACGGTCGGACCGAGGTATGAGATCAAGGTCGGCTCGGGGACGGTGCCCTAGTGTTCGTCGTGCTTATCGTATGTTCTTGTGTATCCTGGGGGAGGGTACCAGTACCCTCGAGTGATCTCATGGCCTGCGGTGTTCTGGGGGTCTCATGCCCTCGACGGGTGTTCTTCTATCCTTGCTCGCCGCCGATGGCGGGCGCGCGCTTCTGGCATGGCGTGTGGCCCGGTGCTGGCGGAGTCGGCGTCGGGAGCGCGGCAGCGGGGGCGCCGCCCTGCGGAGCAGAGCGCGTGCCCGAGGGGGCGAGCTGCGAGTGCGCGCTCCGGGCGCCCCTGCTGACTGGCTGCGAGGTGCCTCTCGCGAGGCGGGCTTGGCGGAGGGGCGCTCGGGGGGGCCCGGGGAGGCGAAAGTTGGAGGGCCCTCGCTCCCCGTGGCGAAGCCGGTGAGGCTCTGAGGTGGCACCATGGGCACGCATGACTCGGCATCGCTCGGACGTTTTTTTTTTTGGGGGGGGGGTTTTGTTGTTTTGTTTTTTAGAATATTTTTCTCGGCGAGGGCCATCGAGGAGCCGTTTGGGTCACCGTGCGAAGAGATACGCGCACAGAGCCGACACATGCGCTGGGAATGGACGTCCGAGCGACGGCGAGATGCAGGGGAAGGGTGTGCTCAGGGAGGCTTCTCGCTGTTCTCGGCCTCTCAGGGGCATGCCCGGAGGGCGGGGGGTGGAGGGGGCGCGGCGGAGACGGGACGGGAGGTGGAGGGCTTGTCCTCCATGCCAAGACGTGGTGGAGGTGGGCGGGCTGGGCTTGACCCGGAAGTCCCCCCCCCCCTGCCCTTGAGACTTCCTGGCCTCGTCAGTAAGCTCGCTGGGCAGAAAGGCCCAAACTATGCAAATCTAATTCGACATGTACGAATTCAGATTACAAACAGCGAGCCTCGTCCAGTGCTTAACCCGTGAGGCCTGGTCGGAGGAGTGGGCTTCTCTGGCAAGGCATCCCTCTCTGCCCCTGGACCCGACCACACCACGGCCTGGTGGAACGCAGTGGACTATCCTCGTCCTCCCTGCCTTCTCCTGCCAGTTACTCATCCCAATCCTCGTTGTTCTCCTGGTCAGTCAATAAATAGCCTCAGATGATCGCACGTGCTCGAGGACCTAAGATTGTCGTTTGGTTTTTCCAATTTGGGAGACTCCAACTATCTGGAGGTGGGTGAATCTAGGTGCAACCTGTGCTTGGGTCTCGAGAGGATGCATAACTTCACACCCATTCTCAAAGTCAAACCTGTGCAAGGCGAAACAGCATCTCCTATTCCTACCCAGGCTGAGCATTAATCAGCATCTCCCCGTCCTCCTGGTCCCCCCCCTCCTCCCCCTCCTCGCCCTTATTCCTTATTGGTATCTACTCTTACTCTGCCCTCTCCCCGGCAGATGCGGGCCCAACCTGGGAGCCGCCATCCCCCGAGTGAACAACCAGTCCCAAGTCGACGATTTTCGCCGTTTGTCGTCCATGTTGCGACATGCGCGGCGGATATTGGACGGGGCGTACATCCCGCGCGAAAGGCCGACATGTCGCTCTCGCCTCGGCGCCTCTCATTTGTGTGTAAAGAAGCGAGCTCCCGCTGGGGCGTGGCGCACATTGTGTGTCGCACACTGCGTCGGCGATGCGCGAGCCCACGAGCGTGCGGTTTTCGCCTCGGCGCCGCGCACAATTCGCCTGAAAGTGGCACTCCCGCCTCGACGCGGCGCACGAGGGTGGGGGAGGGGGGGCCGAGCAGACAGAGAAATTGAAATGGAGAAACCGTAATACCCCAATATGGGGAAGAAGGACGAGGAGGAGGAGGAGGAGGAGGAGGAGGAGGAGGAAGAGAAGAGGAGGAGGTGGAGGAGGAGGAGGAGGAGGAGGAGGAGGAGGAGGAGTAGGAGGAGGAGGAGGAGGAGGAGGAGGAGGAGGAGGAGGAGGAGGAGGAAGAGAAGGAGGAGGGGGAGGGGGGGCCGGATGGGGGGGGGGGCGCGGAGTGGAGAGTGGCATTTTCGCTTCGCCCAGGGGGCGTGTCGCCGCGGACTGGAGAGTGGCACTCCTGTGTTCGCTCCGAGGCGCAGAGTTCGCCGGGAAATGTGGCACTCCCGCTCCGCCCAGGGGGGAGAGGGGGCGGGGGGGGGCCACGCGTCGCCCTCGCCTCAGCTCCGCGGGCATTGCTCGTTCGCCGAAGCGCGCGCAAGCGGCAGCGGCGGCGGGGCCGCGCGAGGGGCGGGCGAGCTGCCGACCCCGCCCAAAAAAAGCGCCGAGACGCCCTTGAGCGAAGAGCCTCGGTGCGGACGCCGACGATCGAGGCAGTTGCGGCGGCGGCGGCAGCGGCGGCGGGGCCGCGCGAGGGCGGAGGAGCTGCCGACCTCGCCCCAAAGCGCCGCGGCGCCCGTGAGCGAAGAATGCCTTGGTGCGGACGCCGACGAGCGAGACAGCTGCGGCGGCGGCGGCAGCGGCGGCGGGGCCGCGCGGAGGGGCGGACGAGCTGCCGACCCCGCCCAAAACAGCGCCGCGGCGCCCGTGAGTGCAGAGCCCTGGTGCAGTCACCGGCGATCGCTCCCCGGGCAGCCAGTCGGGGCGACGGGGCGCCTGCCCCCGGAGGGACCACGAGGACGATTGGGCGGGCGGCGATGGGGGGGCGACAAATGGGGGGGCGTCGAGGGTTGCACGAAAGGGGACCTAAAGGGTCGGGGGTGGGCAGACCTCCTACCCTGACACGTCGATTAGCGAATTGGCCGTTTTCGGTTCGCGAGAGGGCGTCGCGGCCGTCGTGTTTGCGGGTCCAGGTGCGTCGGTTTCGGTCCCAGGCCGTTTTCACTAAGGGAACAAAAAGTGACATAACCATAAAAACTCGGAGGTCCGCGCGGATTTCTCGGATCGGCGCTGGACCCCCCTCCTTGGCGCGCGGAGCGCGCCAGGGGCGGCGCCGGAGGCGCCGCCAGGGGGGCCCCAGCGCGGATCCGAGAACTCTGCGCGGACCTCCGAGTTTTTGTGTTTATGCCACTCTTTGTTCCCCTAATAAATGGGGGGGCGTCGAGGGTTGCACGAAAGGGGGCCTAGAGGGGCCCTAAACGAACCCCCGCAGGGCCCCGGAGGGGTACGAAAGGTGCAGGCGAGGCGCACCTCTCTCACCCCCCCCTCCCATCCATCGCCCCCCATGTAGTGAGCGCCCGAGGCGACGAAGGACGCCAGAGGCAGAGCCGCCGATGCCGATGCCCTCCGATCCCTTCGAAAAAAGGCGTCCGAAGACAGATGGCAGTGCTGCGTCGGCACGGCGCCTGCACCCCTGCGCGGGCCGCGCGCGAGCGCCTTCCGTCTGCGAGGCGGGAGCGCGTTCCAAGCCCAAGGTCAGTGTGTGCCACAATTGTCAGGAGGGGAGGAAGCACACAGACACGATGAATCGTCGATCCCCCAGAAACTGTGGGAACATATGGGAAGCGGGGGGGAAGAAGCCCAGGAAATATGGGACAATATGGGGAATCTCTTTATTTGTGTGTATTTATTTGTGTGTCCCAGGGCCCTTTCAAATTGATTATGATGTTGTGGGAGGGAGGGTGGAAAGGGGCGGGGGGTTCTGCTTCGCTCGGACTGGCTAGCTTGATGTTTCCTCCTACTCCTCCATTGTCCCTGCTCTTCTGCCTTCCTGCCTCATCCGTCCTTCCTCCCTCTCTTGGAGTCCTGAATCTTCCTGTCGTGGCACCACTGCGCTGCGGTGGTGCAGTCGTGGCCGTCATCGGGTCCGTCTGGCTGCTGTCGGTGGAGAAGTCCAGCTCGCCTCAGAGCCTTTGCCTTCCTTCGGACCAGGCCAGGACGAGGATAACGCCGTTCCAGAGAGTTCCCGAACGCTGTATGAGCGTTTCGGACCAGAACGCTCAGAGAAGGCCGCGGCGCCCGAGACATTTTCCAGAGCCGCCAGATCTCAGAGATTCTCGATTTATCCTCACCCGAATGTATCCTCGTCCTGGCTTCGTCTTTTACATTGCATCTTCAGGGGACCTCTCCTGTCCCCCGAATTGGAATCTTCTCTTGTGCCCGACGCGGGCTCGATGCGGCCTCGACGCGAATTTGCCGTGCGTTGGACGCGGATTCGACACGGGTTCGACATGGATCCGACGAGGCCGACACGGCTTCGACGCGGATTCGACGCGGATAGGGCCGCATCGGGACAGACAAGGTGCCCCGAGGATGCAACATACAGTGGAGACTCATGCCAAGAAACACCTTGCTTGCCTCCAGGCTGCCCTGGGTTTCGTAGATGTCGATGGTTTTGCCGTGGAAAGCGTGATCTTCCCCCACCAACACATCCACGGACACCCCGGGGTTCCAGGGTTGTGCTTCTTGTGGAAGGTTCCTTGTGGACTGGCCTCCGCTGTCGCGTCTTCTTCCTCCCCCCCAGGCAGCCAAGCTCTGTCCTCCCCGGCGGCGGCGCCGGCCCCCCCGCGGGCAGGAGGGGCGCCGCCGAGGGCAGGGCGGGCAAGGGCGCCTCCGACGGCAAGGCGGCGCGCTTCAAGAGCAAGGCGGGCCCGTGTTTTTTTTTTTTGTTCGCGCGGCGGCGCTGGCCCCGTGCCTTGGCTCCTCCTCCTCCTCCTCCTCCTTCCCCCTCGCCTTCCTGTGTCCCCCCTCCTGCCTCCATGCCCCCCATCAGCCGCCCCTCCTCGCCTTCTGGCTCCCCTGCCCGCTCCTCTCCCTTTTCGTTCTCCAGTGGTGGTGTTTCCTCCCTCCCTCCGCCTCCTCTCCCTCTTGTCTATCCTCCTCCTCCTCCTCCTCCTCCTCCTCCTCCTCCTCCGCTTCCTCCTCCGCCTCCTCCTCCTCCTCCGCCTCCTCCGCCTCGTCCTCCTCCTCTTTCTCCTCTCCCTCCTCCTCGTCCTTTTCCTCGTCCTCTTCCTCCTCGTCCTCCTCCTCCTGCTGCTCCTCCTCCTCCTCCTCCTCCTCCTCTCCCTCCTCCTCTCCCTCCTCCTCGTCCTCTTCCTTCTCCTCGTCCTCTCCCTCCTCGTCCTCTCCCTCAGTCTGCCCCG